TAATAGATTTGGCACAAGAAATGAGGTTTTTCCTAAATACATCTTTCCATATTATTAAAACATATATATATATCCAAAATGAATTTGAATATCTTCCTTGTTTTTCCTTAGTCGTTACTTTACAAATAATATATATATATATACCAATTTTGAGTTATTATGAATATAGGCCAATTCTGTTTAAAATTTTTGTATCAAATAAAAGAAAAATCTAGACAGAGGTCAAATGGGTTTTCCAACAAATAATGACATTGTTCGATACGTTTAAATGATATATTTTGGATCAATCAAATATTTACAGTGATTCCATTTAGGTAACGATGAATTATATTTGAATCCTATTAATTTCAATAATTAAATTGACATTTATTTATTAAAGACATATTTATGTTTAATGATAAACAGTATTAAATAACATTTACCGGCCTGAATGTCCGAAATTTTCGAAATTTTCAAGTTCAAAAAATATTCGTTCTTTGACAGGATTCGAACCAATCTTCCATGCATCCTATACGGAACCGTCATATATGACGCTGACGTGCCTTCAAAAAGAACGAATATTTCTATGACCGCTTCAGGCCGGTAAATGCCATAAACAAAGAACCAAACGGTAGACAAGGTCAATTTACTGTTTATAAACTTCAATCTTCCCATGAATCTCGTACATTTCATAACTGCCATTTTGTTACTGGCGTATCGAATGTAAACAAATATTAAGGCATTATTTAATGGTGAATTCAATTTGATTTGACCCATTTCCTTTTGATAAATTCTTTTTCGGTTTTTCAATCAATAATTGAGAACAAAATTGCCGAATTCAATAAAGATAAACTGGCTACAGTACAAAGATGTACTTTGCCTGGGCCTTCCTTAGTTCGATAATATCAATGATAGATATGCTAAGCTGGTTTCTTTGGAAATTGGACATTCTCAAAGGCTGTTAACCTTATGTAGTCTTTTCTGCCAAATGGAGCCATCCATGCGGAAGGACGTTCTTCCTCCACATCATTATAGTTCTTTAATTTATTCCTTTAAATGTAGTTGTGGTTCACTACATAGGGAGAAGGACTCAAAGGCTGGGTCTCAGAATAAAAGCCCTACGTCCCAAGAAATATCCGCAAACTTAAGTACACTTCTTCAGACATTCTGTCCAATATAGACGGGTCTTCCATCAAACCTAATAAATGACCATAATTATGGCACTAATTTCAGAACGGACGTATTTACTATTCTTAGAAGTCCCACACTTAAACACCACTATTGGAGGCCATTTATATTTTTGTCTTTGAAATGTTCTCTGTGCAAACAGAAGTATTTCGTATAGTCTGGCCCTCCATCTAATTTCCATCTAAGCAATAATTTGTTCACATAATATATATTGTTCATCCTTTTTTTAGTGTTGAATTCTATATTTATTAACCTGGGTTTAGCCCTGTTGAGCGAGTTTATAAACCGGTTAGCTGAAGCTCGTTTTTCATTTTTACCTCTTTTTTACCTCTTATCATCATGAATGGTAATAAATATATATTTTGTCTTTTTATGGCGGTCATAATTATTTTCATCACCAATCATATATATATATATATATATATATATATATATATATATATGTGTGTGTGTGTGTGTGCGTGCGTGCGTGTGTGTGGAGAGCATTTACTAAGTCTAAACTGACGGATCAAACTGAAGTAAAGTAAAGCTGGATGAAATTACTGCACTCTATGACGGCTTAACTGCAATGGAGTCATGGAGACTTCTTCAATAATATCAGTAACGCTGAATGGTATCCATTTCCGACCATTTATCGAGATAATTACAGGTATAAAGTATGGCTTTAATGGTTCAAATGCTGATGTTATTTTTTTCCATTTCCTCCATCGCATTTAGCGTGAAGCTGGAGAACTGCCTTTGAAGTAATGTAAGATGAACAACATTGAAGACTGAGATCAATGTTGAAATGGAATGAATCTTTGATGGCTTTTAAGCAATTATTCTAAACACAAAACACATACATGCGTATATGTGTAACAACCAATTGACATACACACGCGTCCATCACACACACACACATATATATATTTATATGAAAAATATATATACATGTATATATATATATAACATGTAAATTTTCTATATATATATATATATATATATATGTATATATATATATTTATATATTATCTATTTTCTATCAGCTTCTCTGTTCAGCATCACGCAAATATACGTATGTATATATATTTGATTTTTAATAGAAGTAAAATAAACTTATTATTATAATAATATTTTTTCTTATTAATAAACCTTTTATTAGCGTCATTATTATTATTATTATTATTATTGGTGTTATCATTATTATTAAAACGTTGTTTTATTATCATGATTACTGTTATTGTTTTTGTTCGATTTCTAGCGTATCCACATTTTTGTTGATGGGAAATCAGAGACTTAAGGCCCCGGCATTCATGTCATTTTCCAGTGATAATAAAATAATAGGAAAATTAGGATCAGACACATTTTTACATAGAAGAGAAACCTTCAATGTGTGAGCTGTATTTATTTGTATTTCTTTTTAAGGCTGTTAGAATCTCTTCAATGTTTCTATCGTACCATTTCCAAATGATTACAGGGCCTCAACTAAAACTGGAGTTAAAATCTCCACATGTGTTGTAAGTGGTTTTTGCAGTGGAGGGCTTGTATTTATTTCTAAGTCGCTCTAAAAATAGCTTCGACGTACAAAATGTTGGGAACTTGATATAATAGGTAATGACGCAGATAAATCTAGTGGTGACCGCTGATACTTTTTGCTCAGTATCCGTCTAGACGGTCGTCCGACATCGACTGACTGACCAACTCCTGAGCGACTGCTACTACCTCCTAATATTACAGGTGGAGAGTCTATTAACAATAGAATAGGTGTGTTCCACTATAACAACATGACAAAAATTTTCGGATTTTTCTCAAGATCCTGTATTTTGATAATTTTTGCAGACATTCAAAGATACATTACAAACTGCAAGGACTGCCATGTCAGTAGGAAAACATTCTGTTCTTTTGGTCTGAGCGATTAGTTTGTTTTGTCTGTGTATATTATAAAGACCCTTTATTATTATTATTATTAATGAATTTCCATTTTAAATTTCGCTCGCTCCTGAGAACAATGTGGCTGGTGTAGAATATACAAGATATATATCCTGAATATCTGTTTGACACCAAGTATAATAAGTTTGGGGAAGCAGATGCATCGCTATTTTGGTGTCATGTAGAGAGAGGTTGCACTTTAAAACTACAAGGAGGGGGATTTATGAATACTTTCAGGTTGTTAAATTCAGCGTTCTAGTCATCAGGTGATCGATTGAAGCTGTTCTCAAATATCCTTTACCTATCTCATCCTTTATACTTAAACAACCAACCCTCTAGACGGCCGGTTATATAAATTCCAATTCTGAACAGTGATCCGCATTGAGTCAAATCCTCAGTATATTTTTTCAGCTGGTTCAGGGGCCACAAATAAGAGATAAATCTGTAAGTGGGGAAAATCTTTTCTGCTGTCCACTCCCATCAATATCGGAAAAATCTGCACTAATGAGAAAACTATTTTCCTTTATATTTTTTTTTATAGATGATTTTCTTTTTCAATCCAGAGTAGCACTGGCTGTTCAATCAGTGAATGCTGAATGTTTATTATAAGCATAATATTGCCAAATACCCTTAAATCTATGCGTAAAAAAAAAATCATGTCCATTTTTTTACACAATCCGTTTAAGATGAGAAACAATGAACCATCCGTAATTCCTTTCTTCTTCTTCTTCTTCTTCTTCTTCTTCTTCTTCTTCTTCTTCTTCTTCTTCTTCTATCTCTCCTCCTCCTCATGCTGCTGACAGTGAAATTGTTTTATGGCCGATACTGATATCGGAAAAAAAAACTATTTTAATCCTATTTGGCAAACCTCTATTATTTAGGTTTGGGAAAAACCAAAAACAATGCACATTTTGACAATAAATTTGAGACAAATGGCAATTACCTCACTTTGATTATAGATAAACGTGGGTGACGTGACGACTGCTACTGGACGTCATTTCACAGGGACGAAGGGAGGTCAGCGATTCATTCGGACTACAGTAGTCGTTTGATTGACTTTGAGCTCCTCGAGGCCGGGCTGATTCTAAATCTGCTTCCAGCTTAGAAGTCCATGGTATTTTTCGCTTAAAAGAATATACAGAAAAAAATCCGGCTAGCATTCCTCAATTTGGGAAAAAAAGACTCGCAGTTTCCTGTTCGTGGAATATGACCTCACCTGGGACGTAAATGAATCCAGCCCTTTTTAAATATTATGAAAGCTAATCATGGCTTCTCTAGAATCACAAATTTCCATATTATATGTAAGAATGTATGGTTTTTTTTTTATTTCAAGCTCCTTCAAGCTGCTTTAATGTCTATGTTTTTTTTTTTTTGTTCATTAGGACACCTATAAATAGGTAAATATAGATTTTGTATGTTTAAACGTCTCCGAGAATAAAACATGATTTTCATTCCATTTTATTTCAAACATTCCGTTCCGTCTGGGAATACGGTTCTATTATATCAGGTATGTATCTGTGGCTCCAAATTCTGAGGATATTTTCAATAGGAACCTATACTTATTCTAGATTTTATCCTGTTTTTGTAATGTGCGATAAGTCTTCCGGCCTATTTGAAATGCAGTGCATCAGTTCGAATTAACAAAATAGCAAAAATAGTAGTTTCCATTTTGTTTTATTGAGAAATAAAGCCTTGCCTTCTTCCTATGAGTCAGATTATATTTTGAATTTGGGAAGCATTTACGGTTCCAACAGATAGACTGCATGAGTAACGATGAGGTTTGAAGAGGATACAAACAAAGAGGAAGCTTACATCAACATCAGGAAGAGGCAGCTGAAATTTCTGGTACACGTAACGAGAATGAAAGGTTTATATGCAAAAAAAAATTAAAAATAAAAATATTCTTTGAAAATTTGAACACTTACTTTGACAGATTCATGAACTGATGAATAAAGAGACCTGGAGAAAAAGTTTTTGACTTATTGAGAAGATTGTTACCCTGGAATTAAAAAAAATTGTTTGAAGATTTTTAAACGTCATACTAAAAAGAAGAAGAAATTTAACTCGAAAATATTTTCTTTGATGAGAAAGTGAAAGCTATTAATTGAATCTAGAACTAAAGAATATTTACCTTCTGGTGTTAATCTACTTGGTTGATGTAAAGACATTATGTGGCTTTCAAGATTCTGGATTTCCACTTTATAGGCTTTCATTTGCACTTCAAAATCTTCAAATAGATGCTGAAAATATCTGTAAATAAAATGCAAAGTAATTAAAGAAAAATTTCCTGCTTTTAATTCAAATTTATTTTTTAGAGATAGCTTTCTGAATGCAGAAAGCTAGATTCAAATCTGGTTCTCATCATTTACTAGATTCTATAAGTCTTGTGTTACATAGCCAGCAAAAGAATAATGTAAATTGATACAAGATCATTCCATTCTTGTTATATTCACTTATCAGACAATAACAGAAAAAAACTTCTACTGCTATTGTGAAACAGATAGAAGTATTTAATATATAGTAATATAAATAATTTTTCATATAAAGTTTTATTGAAAATAAAGATAGTGAATAGTCCTAACTTTTCTTGCTAAAAAAGCTCAGTGGAAAACTTTCAAATGAGAATAGATAGGAAACAAATGATAATATCCAGTATATTTGGTACAAGTTGTTGTTTTAGGAAAAGAATTAGGGTTCTGTGTTTGAGTTATGGTTATCACAAGTAATTCTTGAAGGTTTCTTAATTATTTTTGTGAAGAAAAATTTTGCTTCTAATCATAATTTACATGTGGACTACTATTCTCATCTTTCTTCCTCTTATCAGCCTTCATCAGGTGTATATTAATTCAGGTAACCTACAGGGAATTCTGAACTGAACCCTTTCATTTCATCTATGGGTTGACTGTTCTTGTTTCACTGTCTAGGGATATCTAGTCTAGTTCTTATTTTTAGTACTGCTCACTTATTGCTCACTGTTTCCACTGAGTCCAAGTATACATTACATGGCCCAGAGATTGAACTCACTAAATTCACAAACCCACAATTTAATCCATTAGGCTATTGTCCTGTTGTTAAAATTAATGTGTTCATTTACCTAGTAGCTGACCAACGGCGACATTGTAAGAATCCAGAAGAAAAAAAAAAGAGAAATTACGTCTTTTATAGACACAGGGATTCTAGAACCCCTCCCATTGTTAGCTATAAAAGACAGCACCTGTTGGCAATGGTGGGAACAAGTGTTGTGTGTATTAGAGGAAGAGGGTGGATTTACCCAATGTGTATTGCTTCTATTAAAGCCTAGACTTTTTTGTCAACTTTACAATTAACTGCATCTACTCAGCGATAAACCACAACAACGAACTTTGTTGCAACACTAAACTACTTAAACCTAACCTGCCTGATGATGCCTGTTGCTGCTTGACTGCACTCACTGAAGCTTTTTCTCTTTTGTTGCTGCTGTTGAAGACTTGCAGTCTTTTGTCTTTCTTTATTAGTAGCACCCATATTGTATTTACTTCTATAGTAGGCTTACCAATGAGGCCCTCATAGTCTGGTAGATGTGATGATTATTTCAGATGTTTAACTGCAGTGTTCTTTCCTGTAAAGTATTTTCACTTCATTCCACAGAGGCTGATGCCAATCATTTTTCCTTCCATACATGATCAGCTATGCTTGATTACATTGTCTCACTACAAATTTTCAATGTTCCTCCTGTGCTACCTTTAGGAGGCAGTTTGTTTCACCTTTGCCACAGATGCAATAAATGTAGTACTCATAGTTCTTGATTATGTTCTCCCCAGTGCTAGGTTTTATTTGGCAGATATTTCTCTGTAGGGTGGAAATGATTCTGAATATTGTCTTGATGTTGTATGGGCTGCAGATTTTCTGAATCTTTTCTGATAAGCCATTGACATAAAGCAGACAGACAGTGGCAATTTCCTGGTCTTCCTCCTTGTTTCCACCTGTAGATGCTGATATATTCATAGTGTAGTTGTTATTCTGAAGGGTATGCTTGATGCTGATAATTTCTTGTTGGTATGTATCTGGGTTTCTAGTGTTGTAGGCGTTAGACAATCTCTTTCTCATATTGTGTGAATGGTGAGAACTGAAGTAATGTCCAGTAATGGCTGTTCTATGGGACCTAATGGATTAAAGTATTGGTTCATGAATTTGGTGACAGAGTAATTGGGAGTTCAATCCCTGTACTGGGCAGTGTGAACTTGGACTCAGTTGAAACAGGCCAAGGTATATAACTGAGCAGTATTAAAAATAAAAACGAGACAAGATATACCTAGATGTGGGCAGTGGAACAAGAACAGTTTACTTCTGTAGATTAAATAAAAGGCTTCAGTTTGGGATTCCTTATACCCAAATCGATGAAGACCAGAGAGCATAACAGCCAAATTGCTGTGATAAGAATAACAAAGAGAAGAACAATAGTCAACATGTAAATAGAGTACCTCCACTAAAAAAAACAAAAACAACAAAAAACAAAAAAAACAGCAAAGCATGTTGAAAAAAGTTTTATCAAAATGGCAGATCATCCAATCTTTTTTAATGAATCTCCTGTATTCATCACCTTAGATATCGAAGCCAATCATTGGACAAAAATATAAATTCATTTATAAACTAATATTGTTAGGATATAGGGAGTCTGTGTAATATTATTTTTCCTGCTCCCGATCATGACAATTTGCTGAAATCAAATAATTTTTGGATTTTAATGAAAATTTCGGGACTTATTCAGAAATGAATGAATATATTTTTGAGATTATTATATTTAGAAAATCTTGGTAAAAATTTTTTTTTTTTTTTTTTACATGTTCTAGAAATTAAATTTGTTTTATTAGTTAAATGCAGGACTCCTCGAGGAATGTAAATCATTTTTTTTTTTTTTTCAAACTTACCAAATTCCCTAAAATCTACTCCGAATTGTAAAATAAAACTGCAATAAAGCTAATTAGCTTTTGTTTTTATAAATAATAAATACCAAAGACATTAGTCTTAAGAAAAATTTTTTTTTGATGAATAATGAATTTTTACAAGGATAGTTTATTTTTTATTTTTTTAATTATAATAATTTATAGTTTCAAAAATGCTTTAAAAATTCTTCCAAGCAACACACTTGTTAGGTTATTAAGTTATCAAGTGAGGACTATATTTACTAATGTGACACCTAGCCACTGTAATGTTTCTTCTACCGGCATTTTGGGGTTGACTTTTTGTTGTTGCCATCAGTCTGTGTCCCGGTCGATCGGTGGTCATCGCTACTTGGCAAAATGTATCATCAAATGCCGTTTGCATTCACAAGTACTTTTTAATCATTTTTTTCTCTGGACTGCATTTCATCTGAAAATGTTATATCTGATATACTGAATCTACAAGTAAAAAATTGTAATATAACAAATGATTAACAATCTTCACATCAATTGCTGAAATCAAAATAACCAAGAGTAAATAAAGACAGACATACTCAGTTGGAGCTGTGTTTTCATCTTGTAAAACAGCAGATATTTCCTCAGTTCTCTGGCCCATTTCTGTATTTTTCAGTTCCTATACAAAATTATAAAATTTGAAAGTAAAAAAAAATATAAAAATCTGAAATGACTAATTTTAAATATCTAAAATATTCTTACATGGATCATTATGTTTCAATATACATCTATTCTAATATTATATTTGCTTTTATCCAAATTGGATAAAAATTATCAACTGGTAAATAAAAAGTGATTAAGTAGATCTGTATTTTAACAACTTTTTAAAGTGATCTGAAAATTAATCCCCATGTGAATGATATTGTGTAAGAAATTTCTTTGTCTAGCTGAAATTGGATAGTAATTAAAGATAATTTATTGTGGGCAATGTTAGAAATGGTTGGAGTAGTTGGCATGATATCCCACAAAATATACCCTCAGTGGTATAAAATTATTTTTTTTCTACTGTGGTATTTAAACATTTTAGTTTTATGTCTTCATATTATATATAAAACTTATTTTAAAATCATGATGCACTAGTTACACATTTGTCATCATTGCATACCTAAGATTTTCAAAATTTAAAAAACTGACAGGCATTAGATTGGAATCAGTTATGAGAAAACAATTTGTGAATATTAAATTCAGAAAATTTATCCCCACAATTCTTAAACACTTAAATCTTTAAAAATAGTTTTGAAGAATCTTTTACTAAATGGACATTTTAAATATATAACACTTAATTCTGGAAATTGGAACACTTCAAATAATGAAGTAAATTCTGAAATTTAAATTATAGTGGAATGAAAACTCACTTGGACTGTCTCTTTTTTTAATTTTTCCACAGCAACAGCATTTCTTTGTACACCATTAGAAACAGTTCCAAGAATTTGTCGGAGAGCTGTCATCTCAGCTTGGATCTTCAGCATAGATTTTGATGTCATCCTGCTGATGTTTTCTCGAATTGTTTTTTCTTGTTTAATATACTTTCTACAAAGAGAAAATATTAACAAGTCAGAAAGCACAACATATTTGATAGAAAGTTTGGTATTAAAAATAAAATATGTAAAGCAGCTCCTACTCAGTCACATTCTACAACTTCAGAAATTATCCATTTCAATACAATGAATTGAATAGAATTTTAAATGAGTTAAAAAAAATAAAAATGTTAAATTATCCTCACTATTCAGGAATATTTTAAAATTTTTTTAAAGGTTTTATAGTTTAACATAAAATTCCAACTATCTGTAGTGTGTTGAAATTATTTTGTCTGTATTTATTAGTGTGACTCAGTTTGATGGTTTTTTATATTAATAAAATCAATGCAAATCAGATACTATTTATCGTAAGAAATCATAATTAATGCAAATATCCTTTTCCTGAAATATACAACAAAGTTACATAATGTTAAAATGATTCAAGGGTTTATTCAATAAAGGCTAAATTTGAAGACAAAACTACTTATGGTTCCTATTTATTCAATGTAGCTGAAAACTAGAGCTCATAAGTGTAGAACTTCTACATCAAAGACTAGAAGATATTACAACAATATGGCATCACTTATAGGATTTCTAACACCAATGGATGAGCCAGACTTTGCAGGAAGTTGGAGTGAGACTGCAAATCTCTTTTTGGCTTTGGCAGGATGTGAGGCCATCAGAAAGATCTGTCATGGTGTGCCCTAGAAAATTGGAGGATTTGACCATTTCACAAATTTCGGACATTATAAATAAGAAAAATTTCTTGGGAAAAAAAAAAAAAAAGTTGGTTATTGCTGAACAAAACAATACAGTATGTACACAAACTTCCAGATTCTTAGAGTTTGAAAAACTTGGCACTGGAGAAATGACCATCAAAGATGAGTTGATACAGTTGAGATTAATTGAAGGTGTGTATGATGCTTTGTACAAGCAAAATTTTAGAATGGTACAACTGAATGTTCTTGGATGGATCTATACAGTTTCTGCAACAATTAGAGTTAACTGAAAAATTCAACACAACCAAGAGTAATGGGTAATCAAATTACTTTGTGCGATGCAAATACTGTGATAAAAAGCATGAATGGGAGAAGAAAAAAAAATCTTCAGCTTTAGGACAAGTAAGCTGGAACAGTGAAAAAAAACATTTCCAGTCTGTGTGCAAGTATAAAAGTAAAATAAAAAGGGCAGAAAATTTAAACCTCCTTTCAGGAAAATATAGCTGTGTTACACAGTGTGGCACTGGTAAATCAAAAAAAGGCTAAGTTGGAATATGAGTTTGGAACAGAACAAAAAAAGAGTTAAGTTGAAATATAACTTAAAACCCAGATGATGAACAAAGACTGGATCAATTGTGCTGAGAAAAGGACAACCATCTGGAAAATGTAAACCTATGGGGCTTGAGGGGAGAAATAGAGACAATATACTTGGAAACAGTCAAGAATTTTGGAAATGAAGCAGAAAGGGAAAAATTAATTAATGACCGTCTACTAAAAGCGCCCATTATGAAAAACCAATTGAGAAATAAAATCTGGTAATTTTAAAGTGAAGGCAAATGGAGAAAAACTGAGTGATGATTGCTGTAGTCAACTGCGAGACATCCAGGAGCTACAATATGATTTTTTAATGAAAATATCAGAAAAAATCATGACAGAGCAAAGCCATAAAACTTTAAGCATGAAGTGGCAAAGGATGACTATAAATGTATTTTATTACTATAAACTTCCTCTTCCTGCAATTAGTTTTAATGCAAATCATTTCAGTTGCTGCATTAGGTTATATGAGTTGACTTTGGAGGTCATTTGGAATTATCAAAAACAAAAATAACTCTAAACATTGGAAATAAATAGTACTTCTATTGTAATGTCTTCTAATACAACAATTTCTTAGAGTAAAATTAATTTTTATAGAAATTTTGTTAAAAATATTCTGTGACAAACACATGTCAGTACCAATGCAAACAAGGCCCTGATCACATTACAATAGTTAAATTTATAAAAGTCCTTGGTATAGAGTGTAATGTGTCAAACAAGTTCATGATGTGTTTGTCAAATATTGTTGAGCCATTTAGTTAACATAGCATGAATGTTGAATGGAAGGAGTTGCAGAATGTCATTCATTTTCAGAATTTAGTATGGCCCTGCAGAATTATAATTGAAATAAGTTAAATTGATATTATATTGTTGAAGGTGTATGTTTGTTTCCATAAGCATGTTTGATATTATGTGTTAAGTTTTTGTGTATTGTCCTGGAGTTCTTTGAGGTTCACAGGGTATCTCAATCAAGAGTCCACTTTTCTTAACTCTGCAAAGGTTAATTGCTCTATTGTCTTCATCTCTCTTAAGTACTAACTCAGAGCTGAGTCACCAGCTTACACCTTCCCTTATATTCATGCTACTTTTCAGAATTGTCTCAGGGCTCAAATTCTATCCTTCTGATTGGTTGTAAATAATCATGAGAATTAGTCCTCTTCTCAAGCCTTTTTCTTTGTTTCATTTTTTTTATCCTGTACTATACATAGTGTCACTATGATCAGTCTTAGAGACTAAGCTTATCAAATTATTATTGGTCAGAAAGGCCTTTGCTCTATATAATGAGAAAGGACAGAGAGTTGTATTTTTTTCACATAAATTTTTTATAATCTTAAACATTTATCAATTGATATTTATTTTCTGAAATATTTAAGGTTGGTAGTTTATGGTATGTCTCATCTTTTTTCATGGAGCAAAGAATCAGGCAGAAATTGTAGATTTCATAAATGAGACAAAATTTTGCTGCTATAAAACTGTCATAATCAATTGTATGACACTACCTCACATATCTTTGGATGTTATACTAACAAACATAAATCAATTAATGAGTACATAATCAGTGTCCCTGATGCTGGACACAGCCTAAATTTGGTGGGAGTAAAAGTAGTAGTGTAGACTTTATCCATCATCTGTATTACTTTTTCTTGGTTTTTACACACACTTACAGAATGTTCTAGCATCATCTTTAGGAAAAGATTATGTTGTGGTCAAATGTCTGTCTGGCACAAGATGGTCATCCAATTTTGATACTGTAAATGCTCTGTATGAAGGTTTCAAGAAAATTAAACAGCTGATACTGACCAGGAAGTGAACACAAGGAAAAAGGTAGAATAATTGAGTGAGAAAATTAGAAAACCTTTCTGACAGTTCTTTAGAATTTTTTTCTCAAAAGAGTGAAATAAAATAAGTATGGTTGTGCTGTCAAAAGATATGGATGTATTTGTTGATTTGTTGTAAATTTATCTACAGGAGACAAATTTAGTGAATATGAACTGAAGGCCAAACTATTCAAATATTGAAAAAGAAGTGTTAGCTATCATATGGAGCACAGATAGAGCTTACCAGTTTTTATTAGGCAGAAATTTCTGCTTAAATGTGACCATAAACATTTAGAATTTTTTTTGTTTTTTAACCCCAGGAAGGAATTGCCTAAAGTTACATCTAGAATTATAAGATGGGTCATGGCCTTTGACTTCAATATTGAATATGTGAAAGGAAAGACTATTCCACATGTAGATGCTCTATTGAGACTAAAGTTCAACAATGAACCATTAGAAAGAACAGACAATTCAGAAGATAAAATATTGCACTGGATTGAAACAGAGGTATTACCCTTAGATTGTCTTGTATATGAAACCTTACAGGATCTGGTATTAAGCAAGATTGCATGTAGAATAAAAAGAAACAAATGGAGTGACTGTTCTTGGGCAAAGAGACCCTATAAAGAGATAAGGCACATGTTAACTATAGAGAAGGCTCTTTTCCGCAATGATGTTTTAATATGACAAGAAAGATTAAGAAAAGATATAATAAAAAGTATACATGATGATTGTGGAATGACAGTAACACAGAAACGATTAAAACTGGAAGCATGGAGGTTTGGGTATTCACTTGATATAGAAAAATACTTACAAAAATGCCCAAAATATAAGGAAACGAAAAATTTTTGCCAAACCAAGATAGATTCATGGCCAAAAAAAAAAAAAAAAAAAAAAAGCCATGAGCATGCATCCATATAGCTCATGCACATGTTAAAGGTGTAGGACTATTTTTTAATTTTGGTTGACTCATTCTATGAGTTCACAGGGTTTCCAGATTTGTGTAAAAAAAATAAAAAAATTCCAGAACTACATTCAGAAGTTTCAAAGACTGAAACTGATGTGCACAGAAAGTGAATGTTCATCAATTTCAAAAACACAAACTTTGTGATTTATCTTTTAATAGTTTGACAGATGAGATGTTCAAAGAAAAGCTACAGTTGTTTATAATTCATGTCACATGGGTCAGTTGAAAACAGTGAAGAAATCCAAGTGTTGAAGGCTAAAACACAACTGAATGCAAAGCTGGTTATATTAAACATTTTGTGTAGCATTCTATACAGCTTGGAGTTTTACTACATTTGAAAATTTTGAATTCTTACTGCTGCACATTTCCTGTGAAGTTAACTATAATGGTTTTAATGAACAGAACTACAAATAGAAATTTTCACAAAATTACATATTTTAGCTATGCCTACTACTCATGGCTTTCATTGGACATGGCAAAGAACACAATGTTGTTAACATTTTCTAAGTTCATCTAGTTTAGCATTCAGCTCCTTTTCTAATTTTGATATCTCTATGGACTTCACGCAACATTGAACTTTGCGATAAGTGTGAAGTTCAGTCTTTGCTCAGTGCATAGCTATCAGCTTACTTGAGCAAATCTTGTGTAAAACTTTCAAGCTTGTGTTTTTTGGTTTTCAGTTCTTCAATTTCCATAAGCATGGATTTCCATTTTTTTGGTCCACTTGCTTCTGCCTTTTTTTTTTTTTCTCTTCTCAGCCTCAAGATATTTGTTATATGCAGTTCTGGCATTGGAAGCACTGCAGAGAAGAGCCTTAGTCATGGGAACATTCCCAGCACCTCCAACTGTGGCCAAATAGTCCGTGATAATGCACTGTACAGTCAGTATCTGCTGTTTCATATTGTCAGTGGAAATTCCTTATTGACTGAGAAGGCTCATTCCATTGAGGCCTGTCCATAAGAGAGTACCAATAATCTGCAAACAACATTCCACAGTTTTTTAAATTCTTTGTTGCTAGACAAAGAAGAGTAGAAACAAAGATGGTCTTCATGCTTGCTGAAATTCTTGAAAGCAATAATTCCAGCAGTCTCCTCCTTGAACTCTTTGTACTGACTGATGATGTCATCACAATCAGACTTGCTGACTTGTTTTCTGTTCATCATTTGGGAAAAACATCTTATATCTACAAGGAAACAACTCAGAGGATGGCACACAGAGCCCTGTCAACTAACAATCGGCCTGAGCTGAATACTGTCTTTGTGAATCTTAGGGAGACTGTATATGTGAGGTAGCTTGATATAACGCTGCGATAACTGCCTAACTTAGGTGCGAAGTGATCCTTGTTCTTGATTAGTATCTGTGACAGTTTGCATTCTGTTTTCATTGTAGGATCCTTTTTTCCTTTGCTGTAGCTACCATTACTAATGAGGTCTTCCAGCTTTCGTGTATAGTCTGATTTGTCCATCACTACAGCCGGTAGTATGATGATGTTTTTGTTCCTCTGTAGGGATCCAATCGCCAGCCTCCCCAGTTCTGTGATGTTTGACCTGGGTGACTTGGCCTTCTCCAAGCATAGAAATGAATACAATATGGAAACCAGTAATAAGGAGTGCCAGCGAAAAGCGATAACAACAAAAATTGCAATACAAGCTCTGGTAAAAAACATGCAATGATAATAGCATAAATTGCAATATGGGCACTGGTAAAAAATGGTTGTTTATTCACCCAGAAATTCATACACAGATGTCCTCAAGGACACATGGTACAGTGGCTAAAATTAGTTAGATCCAGTGACATGGACCCAAAAGTGAGATTCAATACCCAGTTAAGGCAGTGGAGAACTAAATAGAGGGAATTAACAGGAGATAGCTGACAACTGACATCCATTAAAACATGGCTGAAGAATACTAGAACAGTCTACCCCAGTGAGTGAAATAATGGGTTCAGTTTGACATTCCATTTTCTGAAAAAATTTTAATAAATATGGCAAAAGATGAGGACAATAGTCCAAATCTTTAAAAAGCTTAAAAAAAAAAAAAAAAAAAAGCTTCATAAATTTAAAATAATTTGGCATTTTAACTTTCATGAATTGAGAAAAGTGATGTGTGTGCATACCAATTTAGAAAATTCCATGACTTTTCAAGGAGCTTTTGGGCTATTACTGTTTTTATAGGACTTTTCAGACATTGGGAAATGCCCTGTCAATTTTCCAGGACTTTTCAAGGTTTCCAGGACCTGTACGAACTCTGAGTTCAGGATAGGAAAGAAGCCATGGTAAAGTAAATATTACAAGTAATATTTTTCTGAAATAGGGTACCAAAAACGTGATGAAACCATGTTAATGGTTAAAACAAATTAGATGCCTCCCTTATAAAACACCATCATACCACCCACAATCGAATGAAGTTGCAGAAAGAATGGTGCAGATGGTGAAAATGGGGTTGAAGGCATTTTCTCCATCCAGACACCATAGCTACCTACTATTACTGAATTATAGAACTATTCCACATGTTGGTTGAATGCAGAGTCCATCTGTATTGATGGGAAAATAAATTAGATCACCTATAATAATGTCCTATTCAATAAATGTAAAAATGTGATACAGAAAAGACAGAATCAGCTCCTGAAAAAGATAAGTTTGTTGCACAAAAGGAACATAATATGGCTATAATAGCATCAAGTGGATAGAATTTATTGGCTCATTCTGATCAAATAAGACCCAGAATTGGCAACAAAGAAGTTGAGATGGAAGAGGAGGAAGAACCTGAAAGTGAGGAAAGCATGAGTGCTTCTGATGGAAAAAGCAAACATAGTAGTAAAGAAACAATGGAGGAGAGTTTGCATGAATCCAACATGAAGTTGGAAGATCAGAATGAAGATGAATCCAGATTAGATCCCCAATAAAAAAAAAAACCCAGGTACAACCCTCGAAAGAGAGAAAGATTTTGTACTATTGTTTGGAGAATTTACAAATCAATGAAAGGTATAAAACCTTTTTGTTTCCGGGAGGTGTAGTGACATGGGGCAAGTCTTATTTTGCATAGTTGAGTGATTACTAATAAGTCAGTTGACACTCAGTACAGAGGTAGAAATTTTGTGTCTCAGACTAGATAACATCACAACAATAAATTTTCTATTTGTATGTGCAAATATATCAGAATTATAATTTTCAGAGGTGTTATTAAAATAAAAATAAAAACCATAAATGCCTTAATACTGTAAAATTAAGTGGTTATTTCTTAATAAGCAGAAAAATTGAAATAACACAATTTCTAATTAAAAATGACTTTCCTATTTCCAGTAAGGATCCTAAAAAAAAAAAAAAAAAAAAAAGATTTTAATCAATAAAATAATTGAGTCTTATTAAAATACTAATAAATTTCTACACATTATTTCCCTGCCCTCAGTTATTTATCTGTGGTTTTGCTTTCTACACTTTCAGTTACTCAGCTAATAAACAAACAATTCATGTTTTATTTAATAATGATCCTAACACTAGTGATGCTAGCAAAGAGAAGCTGTAAAGTGTATCTTTTAAATGAAAAGATGCAAGTTCTCAACTTTTCTCAAAGAAAAGAAAAAAAATCCTATTTTGAGTTTGTTAAAATTGATGATAAATCATATCAACTTTTGTTACTAAATATAATAATTTTTCTATTATTTGTTATTGTTAATCTCTTATTGTGGATTTTTAAATTAAACTTTAGGCATATATGCATTTTTTGAAGTAAATCTAGAGTTTGGTAATCTAAACATCAGGCAAAAAAATATGATTACTATATTGTGTTATATAAATTTGGCTAAACTTTCTGAAACTGAGACACTGCACAAGTCTTTTCTTCAAATATATTGCTGGATTTCCATAAGTGCTTTAACCCCAGCAAAGCCCTATTTATCAAGAAAGTATAAGAAAAGTAGACAACATTTTCTACAATTTTTATTGTTCTTAATTATGAATAATAAAATTAAGTTTACAATTTAAACTCATTTCAAATGAGATATGAACTTACTTTAAAGGCTCCACACACATACTCAATTGGTTTGGTAGTTGGCTTTCTTTCAGAGCTTTTGAATTACTGAAATTTAAAACAAAACTTTATCTACTCACAAAAATGAACAAAATATATTCAGCAAAGTGAACAAAATAGCGATGCAAAATTTAGCACAAAAATTGCTAAATCTCTTGCAAAGAGCATTCATGTAAAATCATCATTCCTGTAAGAATTTAATTACCTTGTGCTTTTAATGAAATTTTAAGCCAGTAACTTGATTATTTAGGTTACTTGATAAATTTTTTTTAGAAGAAGCTTAATCCTTTTCTTAATCAGTGATTCAGATGGTTTTCCTCTGTTAAGTCTGAGGAAATTTTTGTCAAAGTATTAATATGCATGCTGATTCTTTTGATTAAAACCTCAATAATTTTTTTAAAAATCAGTATAGCATAATGATAAAAAATCATCACAAAACTTAATAAAAACAAAGTTTTATCATTAAAATGTTTATGTTATTATTAAGAGGAAAGAACAAAATATTTTTAATTATTTTTTTTCTTTCTAACATGTTCTAAATTTGGAAAAAAATTTTTTTTTTTTTTTTTACTACTTTTGGTAGTAGCCTTTTTAAATGTTTTATTTTTTTTTAGCAGGAGTCAAAAGAAGAACCATTAATTTGGAAATTCTTGCAAAAATCAAATAATTATCTTATTTTAATGAAACTTTCAGGACTTATTCAAAAGTGAATGAATTTATTTTTGTAATTTTTATTCTTAGGAAATCTTGGTAAATTTTTTTTTTTTTATACATCTGTACCACCATCACCACCACTTAATTTTATGAAATTTTCTAGAATTTCAAACAGTTTGCAAATTGTTTTATATTACTTATAAGCAGGACTTCTTGGAGAAATAAAATCAATTTTTTTCACAAATACTGCCAACTTTATAAAAAAATCTGCTCCAAATTGTAAAATAAAAACTATCTAATTATTGAATTAGATAGGCTTTTATTTGCTTTTATAAATAATATACATTGAGGACATTATTATTTGAAGAAAAAATGTTTTTCCAATGAATAAAGAATTTTTACAAGAATTGTTTGCATTTTTCTATTACTTTTTTTCATAATTCTTTAATTTTAAGAAATGTTTAAAATTCTTCCAAAGAGAATATGAGGTAGATTATCAAGTTTTTAAGTGAAGACTATATTTACTAAGTGAAAATTAAAAGCTTAATACAAATCATGCTGCCAAAACTTTTAACCATAATTAAAGACTTTTTTTTTTTGTGTCAAAATGTTATATATTTTTTAGTATGATATCTCGTAAGTGACATTATGGTTAAAAGGTCACGCATTTCGAAGCTTGTCTCCTTAGGGAAAGCCCCTTGACACAAAAGGTCTTCGGCTTATCTCACTCTCAGTTATTAAATTAAAAATTAAATTGAGATAATAAAATTATTTTATTTATCAATTTAAACAATAACTGAGTGAGATATTTTAATTATTAATATAATGATAATTTTATTAGTTATTATCTCAGTTATTAAATTAAAAATGTAATAACTTAATGTAATATTAATAATTAATAAAATTATTTATCATTATCTTAGCTATTAAATAATGAAATACCATTATAGAGGTAACTCAATGTAAGACATTTTTATAGTATTTTATAGTATTTTAAATTATAAAAAAAAAAAAAAAAAGTTCTGTCAATTTTGGTGCACCTTACTAAACCTGTCAACATATTCAGCCACCAAATTATTGATGGAGAAGTGAAAATAACAATACACCGAGGTTAAGAAATGTTTGTCTGGAAAATTTTATGTTATAAGTAAGTGATATTTGTTTCAGAACAGATTAGTTTAACTTTAAATTTGCTAATTTTATGAAAGTAACATTTCAAAAATGTATATCTTATTTTAGCAGGATTTTCAAAAAGGAAAAAATAAGTTTTGTCTAAATTTCTCAAAAAAAGTTAAAAATGGCTATTTTGATTTTTTTTTGAAAGAATTGACTAAAAGTCATTCCTATTTCTATTTGAAATACTCCACAATATTTTTTTTTTCTGGAATTAGAAAATTTAATCCTTTAGCTTTCAATTGAAGCTGGGGAAAGCTTTGAAAAGGATTTTTCTTTTATGAAGAAACAAAAAAAAAATTATATACATTTAAATCTTAGGTATTTAAGAATTTTTGGAGGTACCTAGAACTTTTAGTCATCTTCCCGCATTATTCTCTGCCACTTTCACTTCATACCTGATAAAGCTCTGGTTAAAGCATATCTAGTTTCCTCTCAGTCATGTGTGAAATCTCTCGGTGGGATAGTGTGGAAGTTGTATATTCCAAATGAGTGGAAGACCAAGACAAATGACAAAGGTGAATAGACAAGAGAGAATTAAATGGTATGAGATATCCCCTCAGCATGGAAAATGGAATGAGAATATTCTATCTTTATTGATTGCATAAAGGATTCAGTTCAAACTGTTAGTAAGTATGACAGACTTTTGAAGTGTAGAGAGTACAACAGCTGAAGCATTGTAAGTATAACTACTAAAATAATCATGTTAGTCTGAGAGAAAGGCATATTAGATAGTACAAAAAAAATGAACAATATTCTTTAGTCATAACGTTAATATGTTTTTGTCACACATAACCAATTTCTTTGTTAATTAAAAAATTTCTGAATTTTATTGTAAAAAGGTCATGAACTTACATTTGTTTTCCATTTTGTCCACTGCCATCTAGTAAAATAAAATACAATTAAATGTAAATTTTGAAAAATATATTCAGATAAGAAAAATAAGTAATATAGCTAGTATTTAATATTAAATTAGTAAAGATGAAAGCCATAAACATTTATTGTATCCAGAAATTAGCAGAAACATTAACAATCAATAGAAACTAAAACCAAAAACTAATTACCTTCCAATGCTAAACATTTTAATGGGCTTTTCTACAATAACAATGATAATAGTTACTCTACCCACTAAAATTTTAGTAATCTTCAAATGCCAAAATCTATAGATTACAAAAGAGATTTCCTTCCCTCTAAACTGGATAAGACAAAGAAAGATTGGTCTATATATTAATACAATATAGATAAAATTCTTTAATTATGAACTAAAAAATAAAATTGAAATATTTAAAGATACTTTTCAAATGGAAAAATTAAAAACTATATCAATATGTTCCCTGTATGAATTTATATACTGGTATTATTTATTTTCCAGCTAATTTCCACCTAAAATATTTATTATTACTGAATTTTGTAACAAGAGAAAAAATTTTGCTATCCTTTACAAAAAGTATTTCTATTCTCTCCACATTTATGTCTACAAATCATCTATAATTGTTTATGTTAGCAGAAAGTTTGGATTTCATAGTATTCAGTATGTTGATAGGATACTGATGGCTGAATTCTTTTAATGAAAAGAAATGATTTATATTTAGTTTTCAAAAAGAGACTAGTTAAAGTTAGGATAGCCAATTTGAGATAAACTTTCAACTCTATTTTGTCAATTGTTACAATTGACAAAATCAGTGTATCATATACAGCTAGCTACAAATGAGGAGTGAAGTGGTTATGCGTTTCCTTTTAATTAGCTGAAATGGTAATGGTGGGAATAGCTGTTTCCATACAGAAAACATTTGGCATTCATTGACTGAAAAGTTAGCATTATGGTCAGTTGAAATTTATAAAATCTTTCTCTTAAAATAGAGCTTCAGGAAAACAGTCTTCTCAAGTCCACTGTTATCACTCTTTCTACTACTGATGAGAGTTTCCAATTTTAACTGTTTAAAAGAGTGTGGAGAGTCAATCATCTGGATTATATAATTTTCCCTTCTATTTACATGTGCTATACATTTTAGTTTTTGCTATTGTTGGAAGTCTTCAAATGAGGTGTTCTTTGTGATTCTGTAGCACCAGTCTAAGATCTGATAAAGAATTATCTTTAGAAACTAAAGGATTCAATCAATTAAAGCCATTTTTAACTGTTGATATGAGAAAATGATCATATATATATATATATATATATATATATATATATATATATATATATTCCAATTCAGGTTATGTTTAAAATTTATGCCATTTAATCCTATTCCTTTCAGTTGCCTGTTACTTTCACTTTTCTCCACTTGTGTAGTTTATAAAAATGGTAATGGATGTCTATAATGGAAGCTACTTTAGTTCATTATTATTAGAAACTATCCACAGCTTTCTGTATATAAAGGGTTTTTAAATGTGTCTCTTTGAAACAATCCATATTTAGTAATAAATGAAATCCTTAAGGCCATTAACTCAACTTTATATAAAAATAAATCTCAAATAGTTATTTGTCAGACCAAATGAAGTTTAATACAAAACCATAACCATATCAGTACAATAAAACAAATCTCAAACTAAATTCATTCACATGAAAGTTTCATATTTGATCAATAAATTTCATTGATTTTTTTTTCTTTATTTCAAATATAGTTTTTTTTTTTTTTTAAATTTAACATGTTTCTGAAGTTTGTTGATCATGAATTTGATCAGTCCTTCAGCTGACATGTTGAAAAAAAATCATTTTTAGTTTTTTTGTTTTAATGAGGTGGGATTACAAACCATTTGATCTAAAACCCATACCCCATAAAAAAAAGAAGTTTTGGGAATGGATTCTACTCTTGGTTTCAGTACTGTCCTTCAGCTGGAATATGAAATATTTGCTGGTTCCATTTACCCAGTGATAACTGCTGCAGCACAAACACTTCATTAAGTGGCACAAATATTATTTGGATGAAGAGAAGTTTTTAAAAAATCATTATGAGAGTAAAATATTACAAATATTTATACTTTTTAATAAAAAAATTTAAATAAAATTATAATGACAAACATTTATTTCACAAGAATCTTTATTTTAAGAATAAAAAAAACATCTTTACAAATTTTGTAAAATTGAAATTCACCTGAAATTCCAGCAGACACTTTAGGGTCAACCCCACCTAAACCTTTGGAAGCTACTTGTGAGCTTGATATACTCCCAGTAATAGATGCTGCACTAGTTGTAGTTGAAGATAAAAAATTGGAGCCACCAAGACCAAATCCTGTGTTACTTCCAAGTGTTGGTCCTACAAAAAATGTGTGAATTATTAAAGAATATTTTTCCTACATGATATAAAACCACATTTAATATTACACATAGAAGTAGGTTCTTATTAATAAGCACAGATTATGCAGGCAAATTATTAACAAAATTAGTCAATCCTCAAACACTTTATTTAAAATTAATTAAAAAACAAAAGAATAAAATAAATTCAAGTTTATAAATTTTCTATTCATTTTTTTTTAATAATATAAAGCTATTTGTAACAATGAATGTAAGCTGTTTCAATTTTTTGTTTTTTTAAATATCAATTTTGGTTATTGTTATCTAAAGATGCTAACTCAGAGAGCCTTCCTCTATTGTGACAAATCTGAATGTTCTGACATAGATGCAAAGGCCTGAACATGTCAATAAAAATCACTATCAGTTCAGTGTAAATTTTTTTTCAAGCTGCTATGATCAGTTTAATGTAATTAAACTCCTTAAAATATTATATTTCATGAATACTGTTATACCCATTAATAAAAATAGAGCTCTAGTTTCAGAGTCACTCAACCCCTACCTTTTCTTTCATTATTTTTTTTTTGTTCCAAGTGAAAATTTAAATATAGATAAATGATCTGAAATGGAGGGTGAACAACTATTTCCTTGTTTATTTTTCCTTTTTTGGAAGTATTCAGCTTTGTACATATGCAAGAGATGCTGAAAAGATCTTATAAAAAAGTAAAAAAATCTTGTTTGGTCATATTTTAGGAAGTGGCTTAGGCTAAGAACTTTTCAGCACCTCATAAGAAAAATATTCCAAACTAATGCTTCAGAGAGAAATCATGATTATAAATATACTGTAGTTCATTTACAATAAGTAATGATCAAGCTTTCAAGATTGCAAAAAAAAATAAAAAAAAATAAAATAAAATAAAAAAAAATGTTTAAATGTTGCTTAAAAACAATATCAGAAATTCAAGTATTCATCTTTATATAATTGTCTGCAAACAAAATTTTTCTCTGTTCATTAGTAACACTCCATATTTAAGGATGCCATTAAAAAAAGTTCCTTGAACCCTGATTTTCTTTCAAGACTTTTTTTTTTTACAAACTAGTTGGATTCATGGAAATTCCACAGGAGTTGACAACCAAGATTATTCATTACCTTAATGGTTCTTATTCTCTTCCTTATCTATGTTTTTATCTAAATGTACAATCATGGATTAGTACCATATACAAAAATGGAATAAAGCATGTGCTGATTTTTTACTGTATCCTGTTTTATCTTTTTTTTCTCTCTCTCTATAAAAATGTTTAATGTAACACTAATTTTAAACCTTTCCATCTATCTTTTAAAATTTTTTTAAATTATTGTTGAATAAAAGGGTATACATTATACAAAAAATATATACTAGCTGGCCAAAAATATTTTTTTGATATGCCTAATTTGGCTAAATTAAAACAATAATTCAATGTTTGCTCAAGCATATTTGTGTTTATTCAATATGCACAGAGTGCACCTGTGGTTTATACTGCAACCATGCTAAGCAGATCTTAGTTAGTTTCTGGGAGAGAGCATATTATCTAGCATGATCAACAATCTGAACAAGGCCAGCACACTCAAACCCTCAGCTACAATGACTTGTGACTGTGCTAGCACAGCTATCAACAGTCCTCCAAGTGTTCCGTCTACCCAAATTCACTCACAAGGCAACCTGGGGTATAGTTTTCAGGCACTTTCCAAAGGTGCCACATGCTGGGATCATCCCCCTCCAGACTGGTTACATCAGGCAATGAAGTCTCCTCTCAATTTAATCAACAGTGGTGAGATTTGAACCCAGGTCTCATGGTCAGAAAGCAAATGTTCTAACCACAAAAGTGCATATATATATATATATATATACACACACACACACACTTCTTGCCTGGTTTACTTTTTAATTTTTTCTATATTTTTTTAAGGGGGACTACATCTAATCTGTAATTGACCGCTTATTCTTGAAATCAGAAAGCATAACTGTTTCCAGCTTTTAAGCCTAAAGGATCAAAAGATTTTTACACTTTTCCTTTCAACATGAATTTTGTGTGATTATAAAGGAGCCAAGGTTACTTTTGTTTTAAACTAAAACAATATTTTATATATTGTTGAGAAAAATAATCACAAATGAATTGAATATATAATTTTAAATAAAAACCTGATGTTGTGGCTGTCTTTGAAAAAGAAAATCCTCCAAATGATGATGCTGTAGTTGTTGTGGCAGTACCCAGTGCACCAAAAGTAGGTGCTGATGTAGTCTGCTGTCCAAATGAAAAATTGGTATTTAAATTTGAAGACAACCCACTGCTTGTTGTAGGAGCAACACTGCTCTGTGGCTTGAATCCAAAGAGTCCACCAGTTGATGTTTGGGTGGAAGAAGTACCAAAAGTAGATATTGCTGCTGCTGAAGATGATGGTGTATTACCAAATGAAAAAGCACTATTTCCAGCTGCAGGGGCTGCAGTAACTGTACTAGTAGTAGTTGATGGCATTCCAAACATCATTCCACCCCGACTTGCTGGGTTAGAACTACCAAAAGAATAACCTCCACTTGAAGTGGCAGGTGTTGTTGTTGTTGTACCAAAAGAAAACCCTCCAGTTGAAGCTGTAGTTGTATTACTTCCAAAAAGGTAACTTGCAGTAGTTGATGCTGTGGGTTTTGTAGTTCACCAGCAAATTTGAAAACCTCCTGTGGAAATAAAAATGGAACTTATTTGCCCCAAAAATCCTTAAAGGAAAACAAACAAACAAAACACATTAATAGTAAATTTTTTTTTTTAAAATCCCAATCAAAAGATAATGTATAGAATTCAAAAAGTATGGTTGACTATAAATCCTTAAAAATTTGAAATAATAAAAAGAATAAACAAATAACTGTAAAAGAAAATGAATTCAAATTAAATTTGTAATTTTAGAGTAATTGATTATAATCCAGAAAGCTGAATAAAAACATAGGTACCTCCACGAGATCGCTAAAAAAAGAGCATAGCATGATGAAAAAGACGCCAAACTTGACGAAAACAAAATTTTATCGTCTAAATGTTTGTTATTATTAAGAGGAAAGGTCAAAGTATTTTTGGGGTATTTTTTTCATTTTTAATCGTTCCTAGCATGTCCGAAATTTTCGTTAAAAATCTAGTTTTTTTTTTTTCAGCAAAATTGAAAATTTTTTTCCATTTTAAAAAACTGGAAATCTGACTTTGAAATTTTTTTTAAATATCAATTATCATTTTTTCAAAACTTATTTTAAGAAAATCAGAAATTATAATGTTTATTTAAAATATTTTGAACCAAACTTAACTTAGCTTTTGTGCCAAAAAGATGTAATTTGAAAATAAAACAAAGCAGGTCATAAACTTTCGCGTCACTTGACAGGTGATGAATGATATATTTACGGATTCCATGAGGCTAATTTGTTCTATGGAAGGAGAAAAGTGAAATAATTTACATTTAAGTGAACAAATTATTTACCCTCGTTATTTTTAAGGAAAACTTTCAGCGGTCTAATTTTTTTTTTTTTTTTTTTTGTACTTAGCTTTCACCTTTACGTTTATGATGCTTTATGGAAAATATATTATAAAAAGAAATTAAAATAAAACTGTTAAGAGTGAGATTAAATTTCATATTTCTTAAGAAAGGTATCTAATTAATTTATAGGTACCTTTCTTATGAAATTTTATCAGAATTGTACATAAAATACTATAATTTTATGTACATTTATTACATTTTACTGTTATTTGTATTTGCATTCATTTTATTATTAATTTTGATATTTCATTTATGGAAAAAATGTCATAACTGAGATTAATATAAAAAATAAGATCATATAAATTTCATAAGATGATACTGATACTTGTAGGTACCCTTCTCAGTTGAAATTGAAAAATCAAATTAACTTCTCCACACGTGTTTCACAAAAATAAAGGCCTTAACAGCGGAGAACAAGGCTTAACTCAAATAACGCAACTTAATTATATTCTGGTTGGTCTTCCGTATTTTATAATTACAGCCCGATTATAAACACAAAATTACATTTCTTAATTACTGGGGATCTTCTGATTAGTCAAAATGATACAATTTACAATGCGCTAAAAAAAGATCTATCTCATAAGGACACTTTATGAAAGTGGATGCGGCTTTTAACTAATTTTATAATATTTTAACAACTTAAATGTAAAATCTATTATAATTAATGAAATAACAAATAATTGTATTAAAAATTCATTTTTCATCGAAAAAAATTTTTTGCTTTCAGAAAATATTGTCCATATTCATAAAAACAACTAAAAGCAAATAAAAGCATTTGAAATTAAATAATATCTTTGTTTTATTGAGTTTTGTATGTTACAATTCAGAGCTGATTTTCAGGTACTGCGGGTCCAAAAAAAAAAAAAAAAAAAAACATGATTTGCATTCCTCAAAGCCCTGTGCTTTTAATTATTGTAATCACTAAAACCGATGCGATCAAATTTCTAGCGTTTTCATAAAATTAGTTATGGGGGTAATAAATATTTAAAAAATATTTCTACCATGACTTTCATAAAAAAAAAATATTTATAATAATTTCGATCATCTGTGAATAGTTTCTGAAAGTTTCATTAACATCCGATAATTATTTTTATTTTTGCAAGATTTTTCAAATTAATGTGTGTCATACAAAAAAAACGTGCTAAAATTGTCTATGTTATTTACTAGTTCCGCTGATACAAATAGAAAAAAGTTTTTTTTTTTTTAATCAAAATTTAGAATGTTCTAAAAAGAAGGAAAATTTTTTAAAAATAATTAAAAAAAAAACTTTGGTCTTTCCTCTTAATAATAACATAAGCATTTAGACAATAAAATTTTGTTTTCGTTTAGGTTGTCGTCTTTTTTCATCAAGCTATATGCTTTTTTTTTAGCGATTTTGTGGAGGTACCTACATTAACTGGAATTGGATGACACATTGGCTTTTACAAATCAAAATATCCATTCTTTAGAATGATAATTAGAATATAAGATAAAACCAATGTCAAAGCTATTTTTGTTTTTTTGCATTTGAAATATATTATTATTATTTGTTATTATTGTAGAACTTAAAGTGAAAACACATGGATATAATTTATTATTATAGTTTGAACTACAGTAGTGATGCCTCACAATTTTGGGAAATTAATTCAAAATTGGTTCATTTTTTGTTTAAAAAAGGCAAGGAATGAAATAAATCAAATTGTTAAGTAATTATTTTAATAATGTGATTGAATTTTATCATTGATGTGACTTAAAATTTAAGTTAAAAATAGGAGATGAAAAAATTTTCAATTATATTTATTAGATAAGATCTGTAAAAACATCAAGTGTACATATTTAATGGATAGGAAAACACTTCATTGAAGTTGTTTTTCAAAAAGGATAAAATGAATAAACTTGCCTGTGTGTGGATGAATGTTGAAAGAATAAATTTATTAGCATGCAAAAATCTTTGGTAGAGAAGTGTTGAAATACCTTTATAACTAAAAGGGATGATTTAAAATCATTAACAAAAAAAAAACAACCATTATTAATTACTGAGTTTGATGCAAAGGCAGACTGAAAACCTGAATTGACAGAAGTGTCAGTAAAAAAGCAGTATGTGAATATTGGAACTTCTTGTTCTTAAACATCTCTCAAAGAGTTACCTATGATTAATTAATAATTTGATGGTAAGGAATATGAAAAAAAAAAAAAAAAAAAAATACGTTCCATTGTTCACATTATTTTTTATTGAAACAACATTGCAAATTCTTGTATATCTCAAAGATACAAAAGAATTCCTTCTATTTTTCATCTCTTATTCCAACAAAGTATAAAATTTTAGTTTTTCACATTAATGGGAATAAAAAAAATATTCAAAAAGGAATTCAGTTTAAAAAAAACAAACAAGATGGAAACTTCAATCTATAAAAAAAAAAAAAAAAAATAAAAAAATAAAAGAGTGTTAAAAGTTTACTTTGCTAAATGTTAAAAAAAGTACAAAATAGATTGACATTATAAAGTGGTTTGATAACAAAAGTTTCATTTGTTTTGCTGTGTCTAAAAACAGCCCCCATTAAAGCAAAAAGTTTTAAAACAAAAGAGTAAAAAATTCTTTTATCATCATTTTCAAATTTAGGCCCTAAAAAACAATCATAATATCAAAAATATGACAGCAAACATAAGAACATCCACCCTCAACTTTATTTTACTACTGGAATGGATAAAAAAAAAGTGAATATTTACGGTTGCTGATTTATTAGGTGAAGTTCTTAAGGAATTTGGAGAAACTTAACATGTTATTTTTTTTTCAATTTTTCATTAAAATCAGGTATGACTGATCATATACAGAGGGGAAATAAGTCAAGATAATTGACAAAGAAAAACAATGGTGGATAAGATGACAGAAAGAAACAGCATGTATGTACTTCCTGAGAAACCAGCCTTGGTAGAAATAGAAAGGAAGAGCTACTGAATACTATCTGGGAGGTTTGAATTAAAAAAAAGACACTCAAAAGTTTATCAACCAAGTACAGGCAGTATGTTTTCCAAAAATAAATCACTGGATTGTCAAGTGGATTAAAACATTGGTTAACCAAACATAACTAGTTCCCTGGCAGTTTTGAGTACTATCTCTAGGTCAGATAGTGCTATATACTCTAGTTCAATGGAAGAAGTTAAATAAAGTGAAGATAGTAACCGAGACAAGATATCCCATAAGCATAAAATGCAGAATGAAAACAATTTATCTCTGGATTGAATAAAGTTCAAAATCACATTTTGAATGTTACTGTGGTATGAATAGAAATCTAAGAAATTTGAAATTTAGCATTAAAAATTTTAACAATAAAAAGATGAATATACTAGTCCAAAAGGTAAATAATATTAAAACCCTGCGTGAATAGCACAATTTTTTGGTTTCTTTGTTACTTTATTTTGATCTTTTAAAATAACAATGCTGATAAAATCTTTTAAAATGCATGCTTATATGACAACTGTCAAAATATAATCAAAACCCCCAAAATTTGAATGAAATTAGCTAAAACTAAATGCTCCTAACAATACATTTTTGTGCCACCAGAAAGATCACTTCGATTGAATACAGAATATAACATTAAAATAAAAAGTAACCTTCCCATTCAAAATGATTTTTGAACATGTCTATAGACTTTGGAAATCTAAACATGATGAGTTGTTTTTGGCCACAATTGAACGCTTTAACATCTGCCCTGTTGGGTATGGTTTCTAGGGGATCAAATTACAGTCGGATTTCCAATGAAAGGAAAGGAGAAACTATAACAGATGTTATTTTCCTGTTTTTGTTTACAAATATCATCCTAAACAATAAAAATATTTATTTTAAAACACTGAGCCAATGAAACAATATATTCCTCCTCCACTTCTTTGCTTTAATGCCAAAAAAAGGCAGTCATTCTGTAATTTTAAGTCAACCCATATATAGAAAATGTGGTCAAAGGGATTCATTTTATAGAAGAAGAATGCCATTATGAAATAAGATTCCTAACTTATTGGAAAAGCATGATCTTTTGAAAATGAGGTATAGCATGAAACATAAATGAAATATCTCAATCATGGAGGCAAGGAAAATTATTCTTAGTCGATCACATTCCCAAAGGCCCTTCATATCTAAAAATATATTTC